ACACCTTTGAGCCGGAGGCTTACTTGGATCATCGGCAATGTTGGCATGTGAAGCCACACGAGCATACCAGGCATGCTGGCCTAGCTCACACTCACGCCTCGCCGCTTTGGAAATGATACGGTCTGCGGTGGGNNTTGATCATTCCAATGCGCGCGGGTTCGTTGTCTAGGAAATAGACAACTTGCTGAAAGGCCCCAAAGATGCATGGCAATCAGCACTGGTAGCAGCTCAAGCTCATAAATCGGATGCACTGATGTTTTCAGCATACTGCTCATGGCCTGCTGGTTGACCTCTCCTGCAAAGTACGACGAGCAAACCCCAGCATGATCAACAAAAACTCCTCCGAACGTACCTCGACCTTTTTCGAAGGCACCATCTGTGAAGATGAAAGACGTGCGCAGCGATACCGATGAAATGGTGATCGGCAAAGCTTGTTTGATTCTCAGCTTGACCATCTGCAGAGCCCAAGCTACATCAGCTGATAGCTTGACTGACCCGTCAGATCCAAGAGCATGTCTGCCGATATGCTTGATTGCTGCTTGAGCTACTCTCCCGAAGGTAAAGCCTTCAAAAAAGACAAGCCTTCCTCGCAGTCTCTCTGCGTCCTTGGCCGTCATGGATCCGCTCTGTAAAAAGGAGTCCACTGTCTCGGAGAGCTCTTCCTGCCTAGCAGAGGTGTGTCCTACAACAACTGATCCGCGCGTCGCACCGGTCATATCCACATTGACTCCGAGCGCAGCGAATATCTCGGAGAAAGGCGGAGCCTTTTTTCCTTCAGTAGCGTAGTCCATGCCAAGACGGGTAAACAGTCCATGTACTGTCGATTCAGTGCTCGCTCTGAGCGGTTCAGATGTGACTGTAGGATAATCGTCGTAGAAGGCGGACCAACATAGCTGCAGTCCTATGAGCCCTGTGGCCCAAAGGGCCATCGACAATCTCAGGAACCCTGATACAGATCCCACCGCTCCAAATGGTAAACTGTTCGCGCCCAGAAGAATAGGCTCATCGGATCCTGGGCGGTTGACTGCAATCCTCAGCAGCTCTCTAGTGAAGATGTCGATGCCAAATTGCCTGTAAGCCGCCTGAAGGTCATACGTTCTTCCTACCCACTTGCACGATGCCCTGCCACCACACAGCTCTAAAGCCCGGCGAAGCATCGAGGAGAGGATGTCGATGGAATGCACCCTCATCTTATCAGGCAGTCCAACCGTGCAGTTCAGCCCACCAACACTGCAGTCATCAATCGTCCTCAGTTTGAGCTTCTGCAGGAGGCCGAAACGGTGAGCAATGATCTTTCCTTCCCAAGAACCAGAATGATCTATCCAGAACCAGCCCTTAGCGAGCTCCTCCTCCGTTTCTCGCCAGGTTTTCTCTTCGACCTCCGGATCCTGACGCTTTGCAAGTCGCCTTTTGACCAGAGCATGAAAACCCTTGTTCATCGCAAGCACTGTACTAACAGACATGGTCGGTGGGCGCGCACGTTGTTGGAAAACCTGAGACGGGGTCATCCAGCCTGTCAACGGCAGACCAGATTCAACCTCATCAAGGATGGCCGTGTCCGGGTAACCAATCTCAAAAAGGATCTCCTTCCATAAAAGGATCCTCTTGCCGGCCAGCAGCTTCTGAAGGTGTGCAGGCCGCTGCGAATTTGCCCGAGCCTCCTGCTCGTCCAACTCTCGAGCTCGCATACTCCACCTTCGAAGTGTGTCCAATCGCCTTCGAGAAACGACAGAGGCGTCATCGCAAAAGTTTGCCTTGACAGCCGCGTCGACGGCCGGAGAAATGAGTCTGTCCATATCCATGGGATGACCTGCTGCCACCGCCTTGCGAACGAACTCCTCAGGTCCGTGGGGAACTCCAAGGAACACGGTCTCGACCAAGTTCGCAGCATCGCCGCCGGGACCTGTCGAACCTTGGGTTTGCGGTGCCACGTCCAACTGCAGGCCCAACCTGCCACACGTCTTTGCATCCATGCCGCGCAAGGAACAGGCTCCCTGCACATGAAAAGCAACCAAGAGCAGGCGATCGCCATTCCAATCCTCCGTCGAGTGAACTTTGGAAGCATCAAGCTTTACCGGCCCTTTGCTAACATCAAGGAATGCAGGTGCCTCAGAAGCATCACTGTCATACACTTTTACGGAGCCGCCGGTGAAGTCAGAGCAGGGAACAAGCAAATTTGGCACACCCTGGGAATTGTTTACATCTCTGTGGGGGGAGGTCTTAAGATTCTTAAACATCCCCACCGAGGAAAAAGCACACCCAGGGAAAACTGCTGAAACTAGTGATGCAAGCAGGCGGGTTGTTCTCGGATATGCATGCGTGTTCCTCCGCAACCCAGGCTTCTCCGAAAATAGGTAGACGCCCGTAGTCCATGTCTTGGTGGTCTCGATACACTGTCCTCTTTTTGAAGCAAACTTCTGATCTGAGGGCAGAGCATCCAGAAGATCAGCGAGTTCACACTTGGTGACAAACCCCTTTCGCAGAAGTCGCTCACTGATGCACTCAGCTTTGCAACCCTTGTGCAGCGAGGTGTCACTGGCAAAGGGCACATCTTCATGTGCACCGAGAGCAACATCTTCAATCGAAAAATTCTGCTGTTCCCGACACTGTGCGAGGTCAACATGATCCAAATAAGGTGCACAAGCATGCTGCCCGCTTGACCCTGGAGCCCCATTCACAAAACGAGCAGTAATCTTGGCACCTTTAGGCAGCGAGCGAAGGAACTGCATGAGCGCATCGCCTGAGGGACGGCACAAAACCTTGACGTAGCGTCCGAACTCAGGCATGAGCGGGCGCAAAACCTGCGAACGCGGCAGAGCACCCAAAACGAGGCGTGACGCGGCTGGGCAAGGCAACAACAGTTGGTCACGCAAATGAAGAGCCACCGTAGCGCCCTGTTCATGAGCATAGGCAATGATACAGGAAACGGCACGCTCTACAAACAAGGGCGGCAACTCGACATCGTGGCGCGTGCGTTTCCGGATGTGGCCATCAGCAACCTTGGGCTTCCACGCAGCATGGAAATGATGGTTGTCGCACAGCAAATTTAGTTGTTGCAGGAAATCATGTGTACCCTGAACACGAGTGAGTTTGGGCAAACATCCACCATGCATGCATTCATGAAAAGCAAATGTAGACGTCAAGCAATCAGCCACTCCTTTGAGCATTGGAGTGCTCCACATGTGGCTCCCCTGAGGATTGCAGACAAAGCAGGGGATGTTTGCATCAAAGGCCCATCGGACAATTCGAGCAACCGAATCCAAGGCTTGGTTGGCAAGTTCGGTGCGTCGTTTGAGGCCAAAACCAAGGCCTGGAACCCCTAAAGGGTTCGCAGAGGACCTAAGCTGCTTGGGGCCTCCGGAGCTTAAAGCCTTGAGGCGACGATCCCTGGCACGGGACGTAGTGGAGGCATCAGGCGATATCCAGATGCACAAAATTCGTTGGCCAACCTGATGCAGAAAAGTAAGCAGCTCACTGACATGATCATAAGAGGAGAGGTCCAGGGGGCATGAGTGCACACCTCGACCGTGACTCGAGCGAGACCCAAAAGGCAAAATGCCAAGGCCTTGCTTGCGCGCATGGCTGCACATCTGAGCGCCGTGCTGCGAAATCTCAACCAGCAAAAGATCCGAAAGTGACATATTGGAAAAAGAAAGCGAATTGGAGGCCTGTAAACACGGGGCCTCCCATGCAGCACCAACCTCAGTGGCTTCAATGACTGCCGGTCCTAGTCACTCCTTGGAGCGGCATGAGACCAGACCGTGATTGGCACGGAAACACTTACAGCAGCAATGCAGGCCCTTGCGACAGCCTGGAATGCCAGGCACAACATTGTTGTTGGCATCAAGCGTGCAGCCTTCAGCACAGTTGTAAGCCCAACAAATAGGCTTTCCAGAAGAATGCTTGCACCCATAATTCTTTAGAGATGCCGGCTTGGTAGCCTTCTTAGGCTGAGGCTTGGCCTTCTTCTTGGGTCGGGGAGGAGGTTTGGCGAGTCCCGCATCACCTAAGTCAGCGATGGCCTGAGAAGACTCTCGCACGGAAGCGGAACCCTTGGCCGCCGAACCCCTCAAGGGCAACAAGAATTGCGTGATACGAGCATGTGTCATGAGCCTGTCGAACACCGCGTCGCATGGCGACACACCAGTAGCAGTGACTTTGTAAGGCCCGGGCAAATCACGCGCCAGCAACGTCCATATTTCCCGGTCGGCCCGTACAATCTGTGCAGCGGTAACAGACGAGTATCCAGGAGGCGGGCTTTCACATAGAGCCTCCATAAGCAGGGTCACCCACTTCTGATGAATCTCCCAGCTGAGCAGATGGCACTGATCGAAAGCAATCCCCCGACGCATGAAAGCCCACTGAAGTCGTAATTCGGTACTAGCATCAGTCTTGGGGCCTTCATGTGGTACAACAACAAGAGACTGCTTCTCAAGAGAGATGGCAGAGCGAGCATCATGCTTGGATACAGCCTGTAGCTCAGCGTCTCTTTTCGAACACTTGGATGGAGAAACCCACTGCATTACTGAAGTTTCGTAGATGGTGTTGGCCAAGTCACACAGAGCGAAGCTAGGACAAAGCTCGCCCTCGATAGTTAAACCCCTCAGTCGTCACTGCTGCGCCAACAGACGGGCCCTGCGTTCAGCAGCAGGAATTCGCTTAAGGCTTGGCAAACCTTCAGGACCATCCGAACCTGTCACTTTTTTTTTGAAGACAGCGACGACAAAAGCCGTAGATTCAAAATGGATGGTGCGCAGATCGGCAATCTGCGAGATTGAAGGTTCGGCACCATAAATCTCAACTGCAAGGTCATGGAACTCTGTTTCGTTGGGAGCGCTTTGCGGCGTTCCTACTGCAAAAGCCAACTTGCGGAAAGATTTTATGCCCTTTGCTTCAAGCAATCCTCTTAAGCCAGGCGAGACTTCGTCACATCTCTGGAAAAAGGCGGCTTCAGATTCCACCAAAGACATGCCTGCGGAGCTCCCTACCACTGACACTCAGAGCCACCGCTTCGGGCCTAAGAGGTCGAATGCAGCACTCGCCACCGCTCTAGTCCCCAGCAAGTAGGTTTTGGCCCCGGCAGCGGCTCAACACCTGTGTGACAACTGCGCCTGGGTTCAGGTGCACGAAAACTTGAACGTGCACGACAGCTGATCTGCCTTTTTACAGGAAAGTAAACACCTCACGCCCGGTGATCAAAGGTAGTCCCTGATGCAGGTCAACGGCACATGCACCAAAAGCTTTGAAGAAAGTGGCCCCTCCCCGATGGCATGCGGGCTGGCCCACGTGCTTGAAAGTTGCACGACTCCACCCTGCCGCGGAAAATCGATGAGACAGAGGCCCTCCTGGAAGACCCACGATGTCGAAACACCGACTTCCTCCAGGCCCAAGCCCTGAGTCTATGGGAGCAGGGGCACCTACTTCCTCGACGAACCTCCTGGGCCGCATGCCGAAATCGCAGCGCAACCATAGGCTGCCGAGGAACCCGATGCAGAAAAGCCCTCCCGCAGGACCCACGATGACGATCATCGAATTCCTGCGGGCCCAGCGCATCGCTCTCTCAAGCACGTGCCGCCTCGCCCGAAGCCTTGCGACACTGCGAACACACTGAAGAATCAAAACGAACATTCGATGGCCTGGTGTGAGCATCACTCACCATTCGGCCACACTCCAAGACTCGCTCATTTCCATTTTTAATCAAATGGATCATGCGAGTCTTCCTGTGTTGAAGGAATCGGAATCCCGCCGGCGCAGTCGGCACTGCAAGCCACCGAACCTCAGGAACCTCCAGCGCTGAAGATTCGCTGCCCGATGAGCCGGTGGTAACATGCTCGGAATCGTCAGCCCGATTCGAAAGAGCAGTTTCTTCCTCTGCCTCAGATTCAAGAACTGTGATGACCTCGCCCGTGGCATCCGGACAAATCTCACTCTTGACCTCTGGCTCACGATGTGCAGGCGGCCCTGAGATCGGAGCATCACCCTCTGGGTCCAAACAATAAAAATCATGCCCAGAAGCAATCTCTCGAGCCTCACCCACCAAGCGCCCGGAGCGCGTTGCATCCGGTAAAAACAGCCCACGTCGAATCTCCGAGAGCATGCTCTCGAGAAGACGAAGGCTCCTGGCCGCTCCATCACGACTATACACCAAAGCCATCCGACCAGGTGTGGCGTGATAGCCCATTTGGAGCCTATCATCCAGCGAGTAGCCACGCTTGGCAGCCATGGAAAGGAGCGAAGCTTTAAACGAGTGACTGGTGACCCTCTTGGGATCGCCAGAACCGCATTCGCAGCTCATGAGCCTCCGGAACCATTTTCCAGCTTCAGACGAAGTGAGGGGTCTGGACAATGGCAGCCCCTCGCGATCAGGCGCCGGCATCACACAGTGATGTGGAGGGCCCTTGATTCCGAGCTGTTCTCGAACCTCGAACCAGGTAGTTACCCATTCTCGCTCGACCACACCTCGAGCGATGGCCACCATCGGGAGAAATTGATAGCGGTGTTGTGCCGCCCTCGTAGTTTTATGATTCGCGACCGCGATCTCGAGGTACGCCGCGGCACCATGCTGGTCGAAGTCGATGGCCCACCTGCTCGCATGCTGGGCATCGCCCCAGCGACTCCGCGCATACAAAAAACAGAGCACTGCACCTGAGAAGACCCGGTTCCACGGGTCTTCTTCCTGGTCATGCAGCCTTCTATGGAGCTCTTGAATCTGAGCAACCGTCAGTGGCGGGGCTTGATTTCGGTCTTTGGCCAAATCTGCTTTCGTGGCACCGAGGCATCGTCTACTAGTCTACTCGATGATGCATCCTCCAGCCCCTTGACCCCCAAAACGAAACGAGAAAAAACGAGAACCTCCTGATACCCTTTGAGACGCGAAGCCGGAGCCCCCCTGGAGCGCTCATCTCGAAGAAACTCGTAAAACAACTTTTCGCTGATGGGATACCCGGAAGAGTTTCGCTCCATCAACCAATTCGCGATCCTCGCCAGTGCTCGAGCTCGCTTGATCAAAGTCGAGGGAGCTCTCCCTCGGAAGAAATCCTCAAGCAGCCTGACCTGGCCCTCCGGCGAGGACTCCTCACAGACCATCTGCCTGACTTCGCAATTGGTGTCCCACCGGAGAATAGTATGCAGCCAAAGCTTTATCGCCCTATCGAAATCAATGGCCCGCTGCTCACTCCAGGAGACATCAACAGATTCAGAAACCACACTCATGTAAATCCTCAAAGTACTCACCTGCCCAAGCCCAATCTCTCCCCCTGAGGCATCCTGTTGCAAAGCTCTCAACGGCGAGGCCTGAGGTAGCCCATTAAAGAGTAAAGGATTCGGCAGCGGTCCAATCAGTTGGCCCCTTGCTGCCAAAAACAGCTCCCCAAAGACCTGCTTCCCAGGGTAAAGCCAACTGTGGTCTGCATGGCGCTGCACGGAAAGCACTCGAAAGTGCCTGCTGGTATCCCTCAGAAGACACCGTAACATTGGTACGGCCAATATGTGCAGAAGAACCCGACTCCACAAAGCTCCAATGATCAGAGCCTCTAAGAACACTCGTGGAATGCAAAGAAGCCGAGTCCTGTTGGGCCTGCCGATACCAGCTCCTCTCTGCAGCACTGCCCTCAGATTCGTTCTCAAGCAAATCAAGCGAAGGTCGATCCTGAAAGGCAGAATCTGATAGCAAGTTCCAGACATCCGAATCTGGCTGATCACCGAGACCACCCCCCTCAAAAGAAGGATCAGCAGCATCGAGCTCCAGCAAACGCAGTTCCTCATCCACCACGTCCTCCATGCTTAGAAAAAACCTGCTACGCGGAGCATGGAAAACTGCAACCCGGCGAGTGCATGCAGACTGCAGGAAAGGCTGATGCAATGAACTTGCAAACGCGGTGCCAAAAAAGCAAACGATTTTAAGCTCAGCACCGAAGGGATGATGCACTCGGTCGAAAGGTCGGGCCTCCGAAAAGAGCAGGCCTGATCCTAATGCTGAGTCGAGGAGAAAAAATCAGGATTGCGAGCCGCCGCCTCAGCTTCAAGGCGCTCCAATCGAGAGTGAGCCAACACTTGCTGCTCAGCAGAAATGCGCTGCAACTCAGAAAGACGAGCACTAAGACTACGGAG